TCAAATTTGACTAGGTCAACTCTTTGATCTGGTTCTGGGGAAAAAACAGGTCAACAATATGTGGTATAATGATTGATAGGATTGATATGAAATCTAATGTGATACTGAGATGTAATACTAAAATGTGATACTAACATGTGACTGAAAGAATGTACTGTACTAATATTGCTCTTATAGAAAATAATATACTAATTGACATCAGATATATATGATATAATAACCCCCACGTGATAACCTCAAGATTTATTGATTCACTTATTGGGAGTCATAAGGAGCTGGAGATTGATTAAGAGTTATAAAGAGTTGAGGCTACTGATCCACATGATTCAAGGGAGTTATAAAGATTACACTGATTGAGAGTCATAAGATGCGACTGATTAGGAGTTAGAAGTGAAAGAGCAAGATACAAGATACTCTCATTTGAATATATTGATTATTGATACTAATTACTAATATTAATTTTTATAATAGTTACCAATATTAATACTAACTATTATTGCTATTGATACTCCTTATGACTACTGGTTTATATTACTATTTATTATCACTTAATACGATTACTAACCCTACTATATAACTATATAAATGATAGACTTACAAGAATGATTGAATGATATTACTAAATGAATGAATGATTGACATAGGTGGTCGTACAGATAATATATATTAATTCATAGATTCTCCTATATAATTTATAGCATATTATTTCTCTCTTTCCTTGCATTAATTTTAGTTATAAAATTTCAGCTATAAAATAAATCTTAAATTCAAAAGAAATCTTTCAAAATAAAATAAAAAAATACAAAATAAAATAAATTTATGAATGTACTTAATCGATAAATAATGCCAACTTTGGTTACAAGCAAATTCTTTCACTAACCATTGCTCTAATACCACTTTGTTACGTTCTAGGTTCTAAAGTGAAAGTTTTTTTCTTTTCTTTTAATTATCTTTTCTTCTAATTATATTATTTTTCTTTCAATTAGTATCCAATGATCAACCATTTACAATCAGGTCATTTTAATATCAAGAGTTGATTAATTATATTTAAAAAAAAAACAGCAATCTGTATAAAATATAATTCATCTTATTATAGTAGTCAATATTTATATTTTATCGGTAGATTCTAAAATAATATATGAAATAACCTTCATATACAAGCTACAAAAAATATACATAAACTAGAAGAAAAAAATAAAAAATAAAACATCATTACAACTAAGCTTCAATCCACAGGCTCCTTTCCTTTGTCTAAAATCATAAAGGAAGTAAAACTACACATTGATCGATATAATAAGAAGAGAAATAATATGATGTAAATCATATAAAAATATATGTATCAATATATGCATGTTATTTGTACAAATCATTCAATTTATACCACATCACATCTTAGTCTATTACATAATCAATTATAATAATAATCACTAATCAATAATAATAATTAGTATGAGTATAGTGTAAGCTACAATATCAATAATAATAAGGAGTAATCAATGTCAATAATCAATATCAATATAGTATTCATATATTCAAAAGATGGTATATTGATCTTGCTTTTGCACTTATAACTCTCAGCCAGTCACCCCTTATGACTCTCAATCAATGAACTCCTTATAACTCCCTTTGAAATATGTGACTATGGACAAAATTTATCTCTTCTTTGTTATACATGATTTACTTTAAATATTTATAAGTTTTATTTCTACTAGTCATATATATATATATATATATATATATCATCGTGGATGATAAACTAATCTTCCACTATCGATTTGAAAAGAGAAACTATGATGTATTTTCCTAATCAAACACAATATAGGGAATATGCAATCTATCACAAATGATGAAGAGAATATTCGCCTATCATTCCAATTAGAAAAATAAATTAAGATATTTATTTCTATAATCAGACACGTAAATGATATTCAATTTATCCTAGAGATAAATAAAATTTCTATTTATATTTTGATTATAAAATTAAATTAATATTTAAAGCAGGTATATGTCCTTAGATTTTTCCTCTATCTTAGAGAAAACTAAGATAGGGTTTATTTTATTTTTAGGTCCTAGACTTCCTTTGGGGTAAGCCCTTTTTGTTAATTATATCTCCTAAGAGAAAACTCTTGATTAAGGTAAAGACTAAAGATATTGAGATTATAAAATACAGGCTTTAGATTATAAATTATGAAATTGATTTAGATTTGTTGAGAGGATAGAATAGGGAATATGTGTAGAAGGAGAGAAGTGTATACAATATAGACTTACACTTGTCTAAAGTGAGTTGCCCACTAACAATCCTAAACACAAAACAATCATCATATGTATGCAATATTTGGTAAGCTCTATCCTAAGAATCAAGGAGATATAATTCAGAAAACTTTATAAATGAGAGTGTGTAATATGCATATGATTGCATAATAAAATGTAATGCAAAAAAGAATGTAAAAAAATAAATCTTTTTTTATTAATGAATTTCAAGATACAACCTAGGGTATGTGTCACACTCTAGGATCTATATTAGAAGAATTATATATATCTTTTATTTTAATCATTTAATTAGAGCTTACCAATGAACAACAAAAAAAAACATGATTGCATTTTTATCTTGCCTAGAGCCTCATATCATAGAATCCACGAACAAGGATAAAAATAGCGAAATAGGCATTCCTCTTTCCCATTTCACACCGCCCACATGGTCCAATCCGCGAACAAGGATAATTTTTTTTCCAAGGAGGCACGTGCCCCCGCGGGACCCCTCCTCACTCCGCCGTTGGGTCCAACCATTTGATGAGTTAGAAATTTGATTTTTACATAGCAAATTTTATTTTATGATATGATTTGAATTATGGTTCTATCTTCTTTTGTAGTGACCATTAGTGTGATTTTTTGGAGATCGAGATCATAGAATACTTTGCTTCTTCTGTACATATGCATCCAAGTTTACAATACATTAAATAATTCATACTCCTTGTGCTTAGATCCTCTTAGATCATAATTTTCATTTTTTAAAAGAAATTTGCTATATAAATGGATAGAAACTGAACTCATCTTGATACAACACATCATAGACCCATTATGATATCATTGTCAATAAATGATCCACTTAGCGTGGTTATTATATTTGCTTGTTTTGTAGTTTGATTATATTGGTCAATTTCTTTTATAAATTTTATTTTATTATTCAACCATAAAAAAGAAAAATAGGGCGTGGGGTTGATTATTCTCATTAAAATGAGATAAGGAGGCTTAGCTACCTTCTTCTCTTGAGAAGCTTTAATTTATGAGTGGTTACTTAAATCAAGAGATACTTTGTAGAATCCTTCTAAGTTCTTTAATTATTTTTTCTATAAGTAGTAACATATACTTGGTCCTTTTATTTATTTAATTCTAATGAATATACGAATAATTTTCATTATAGATTTGTTTTTTCTCTCTTTGCCTCTTTTAATGATTGACTAGGGACATAAGCTATTCGAATTTAACCATGATGAAATTTGCTTTTAGAAATTAACCTTGACACACCTCCCCTCTCTATATCTAATCCACTCACTGTTTGTATCATCCTATTTTATTTTTCTACTCAACAGTAAGAATAGAAGAAATTTCATGAGACTAGAAGAAGAAATTTTGGAATGATTGATGCATGGCAAGGGAAAAGAAAATCATCACTTTCCATTCAAGGAAGATGACCAAGGAGGAATCAAGAATAATTATAAGTACACTTGGGGATAAAATATTCTTCTAGAAAAGTACACTTGGGACTTTGATAGAGCTTAATCTCTTTTAGTTGTTTATTATTTTTTAGATAACTTTGCAAACATCTCTCTTACCTCACCATTTCACTCACATGTTGTTCTTAATATCTAATTTCTTACAAGAAGGATAACCTAATTGACATTTCTTCTTTTAAAGGTCTATCACTTATCTTACAAACATAACGAATTCATCTTTCCTTAATGATTTCAATGATCAATATCAGACTTATTGCATTGGTTCTAGAATCATGCAGCACCTCAGTGTATACATTTGAAAATAGGATGTACTAGTAATCATCCTTTCAATCTTGGATTACTAATCTAAATTGAAATCCATTAAAATAAAATTAAATCTGTAAAATGAAATCCCTAAAATCTTCAGAGAAAACAACAATATGATTTAATGCAACCAAGCACTCCACTTTCGTAAAGAAGTCTCCTTTTTTTCGTTATGTTATCTTCTTCATTAACAAGAAAGAAAAGGTACAAAGCATTAAACTTATATAATAAAAGACGATAATTTGATTATGAAAGAAGAAAATGAACTAGGATTTACCATGTGCATATGACCAGAGGCAACCTACAAACACTAACATTTGGCTTTCTCCTTGGTAGGTCCATCATTTTTTTTTTAAATGACATTCATTCATTTCTTTTATCTATATTTGCCACTACGATTAAAACCACAAAACAAATCTAGATTTCTGGAAATAGAGTTGATCATATATCTTTATTAAAGTGACGAAATATAGGCAGAAAAAATCAAGTGATACTAATTCTCAAGCTTTATATAAGAAAACTCAGCGATTAACAAATTTGGTAATGATTTAACAAGAAATTTAGATCTTTGAAATTTCTAGGACTTTAATTTTTTATAAATTTTAATTGAATATTTTTTTTATATTTAGCTCTATTTATAAAGTCAAAACATTCTCAAAATTGAGGCAAAAAATGTTATAGAAATTGAATCACCATTTTTTTTTCACGTTTATTAATTGTAACACCATTATAATTATAAAATATAAAAAAGTTAATTTAATGTGATTAATGATTATTACTATTTATTAGATTTTATATTTTAGATTTATTTTCTTAAGATTCGAATCCGTTATGTCTCTAAATACGGAAGCAATTCTTATCATTATTCTGGGATTTATACTTATATAAAAAATTAGTTACACACAAAAAAAGTAATAATAAAACTATAAAAGCGAAATATTAGATAATAACAAGACCGAGTTTCGAAGAGAGAGAAAAAAAAAGAAGGGGAAACAGTTTTGAGTTTTTCGATCGGCGGCGATCTTTCCGAACCTCAACCTCCTTCCGGTGAAAAAGGTCAAAGGGAGATGCCGAGGAGGGAGAGAAAGAGTGAGATAGAGCGGGGCACATAGAACAAGGGGCTAGAAAGATAGAAAGCAAGCGAATATATTAAGCAAGTTCGGGAAGAGAGAGATTATAGAGGGTTCGGAAGCAAGTATCGAAGTTCAACTTGACGGCGGATAGCTTCGATTCTAAGAACCCTATCGGTACTCGCGCTTCGAGAGGTCAGGTTGGTTCTCTTTTATCTTTGACCCTGTCTACTTGCTGTTCTTTTTCTATTTGGTTAATCCAGCCGCCTGCCGGCGATTCCGGCTAGATCCATCGAACTTCGACTGGATGCTTGTATGGAAATTCTGTTAAACGATGGCTAATTTTCTTCTTATCTGATTCTGTAACAGCAGGAGAACTGTCTTCGCTGCTCAGGCCATTGGAATTGTGTTCTGCTTTTAAAACAACTTCCAACTCTAGGGTTTTGAGTTGCCTGATAGAAAAAGCGCGTTCTTTTTTCATCTCGTTTTTCTTGACAATGAGATTAATGCCAGCATTGTCTTGGATGAGATTTAGGGATACTGGGATAGAAGTTCTGGCTATCCGCATGAAGCAGTGCACATCCTAGTCCTCAGTGGGAAAACCGTGGCTGTGAGCAGGGAAGCTCAATTTCAGTGATCTCGTGAGTCGCTTCTTGCTTCCCAATTCTGGTATGGTTACTGTTCACTGAAGTATGCCACAGCTGATGCCGGCAATGCCGCCTCCCCGGATTGACCTCGGGGAGCTGAAGTCACAGTTAGCCAAGCGGCTGGGGCCTGAGCGAGCCCGCCGGTACTTCAGCTACCTCCATCAACTGCTGTCACTGAAGCTACGCAAGTCTGAGTTCAACAAGCTCTGCTTTTTGACCATCGGGCGGGAGAACGTGCCCCTGCACAACCAGCTTATTCAGTCAGTGATCAAGAATGCTTATCAGGCTAAGACCCCACCTCCATTAAAGAAATCTTTGCAAAGGGAAGATGGTTTGAAACCACCCCCTCATCCGCTCATATGGTCCAATGGGGAAATTCTACCACAGTCTCCAAGAAGGCGAAGGTCTGTTACTCAGAGAAGCAAGCTTGGACTCAATGAAAAGGTGGATGTTTCTATTCTAGAGAATGGTGACTTGGGTTATCATGAATTGAAGAGACGTCATGATGATCAAGATGGTCAGCAGGCTGAGCCGCCTTTGAAGAGACATCGTGTTGATAGCAATGGCATCGATGAAGTGATTTTTGGTGAAGATCGAGACTTTATAAAGCAAAAAAATGATCTAAAGCTAAGCCACGGTCCCCTTCATGCCCCTCTTGGGATTCCATTTTGTCCAGCAAGTGTGGGCAGGGCGAAAAGATCCCTGTCAGCAGGAGGAAGTACTAGATTTGGTAGCTTTTGGAGTTTCTCAGATAGTGGTGAGCTGTGCCATACTGAAGATTTAAGAAAAAGAATGGAAAGGATTGCAGAAAGGCATGGCCTTGGAGGCGTTACATTGGACTCTGCTAATTTATTGAATCATAGCTTGGATGTTTATTTGCAGCGGCTGATTAAATCATCAATGGAGTTAGTACGTGCAAGGGTAGGTCCTGAGACAATAAAGCAGCCAGTGCCTAAGCAGAAGGCTCATGATAAGCCCATAAATGGTATTTGGCCGGATAGGTCCATGCATTTGCATGGTAATAACCCTCTTGATTTGCAGGAGAGAAAATGCTGCTTGATAACTAGGCAGGATTTTACAGTGGCAATGAAGCTGAACCCACAGCAACTTGGGGAAGATGCAGCACTGTGGCTTGAGAAGATATGCTTCCATTCATTCGAAGAATAAAAAAGTTATATAAAGTTTTTGTTTCCTTTGGAAACTACAGCTGGTGACCACTGATGAGGGCAAGGGCTCGCCTGTGTAAATCAGCATGAAAAAATTCACATTGGAAGTATGATTTTATGGCAAGCCCCTGATTCAGAGCCACACATATAGAGCAGAATACACTCCTAAGAATCCATTGGAGAAGAATAAAATTTTAACTGCTGCTTGTTCCCTTCGTAACACATTCAACATCTTTGAGAGGGTGCATCCGCATGAATGGAGTTCCAGAGATGATAGCATGTTTAATCCTAACCAATCCATGGAGGACTCCAATCACAGTTTTGCAGGGATACGTTGTATAACTTACAAAATTCTATTTTATAGCTTCTGCAAGTCATGGCATTTGTATTACCAATTGGTAAAATTTCTTAGGTAGTTCTGATACCATTTTCATGGATTGTGTTAAATTATTTAAATTATGAATCTTAGAATCATTTGATAATCAAATGCTGCATACTGGATGTACCATTTCTTAATCTCCTGTTGTTTGCGCTCAAATTGTACGGTGGATTTCTTCCATCAAAGTTGCTGTTGCTTGAAGATAGAAATCCTTAAAATGACACTTTAGAATCGAATGACCCAGTACTTTTGTTGTCTCTAAAGGAATGACAAGGTTATGAATGGCGGCAGTTAGGAATACAATGGACATTTTTCATTGATCTTGACAAGATTACTGAAAAGATAGTGAGTGGGAATCATCATTCAGTTACTTTTCTCAATCAATTAAATGTTTATTTATCAGTTAACAAAAGATTTATGCAGCACCCATCCTGATGAGCTCTAAGCTGAAAGTTCAATGGCATATCAAATCCTAGACAAGGAGCTTGTTCAATTGTGCATGCTCTTCATTTTATTTACAAAAAATTATGTCAGCTCAGGTTCTGATTATATTACTTTTCTGCTTTCTAAACTTTTAACATACAAGCTTGCATGCTCCATTTGTTACAGGAAAAATGTCATGCAACGGCTTCAGGACAAATTATTTTTTGAAATCTGTTTTAGATGACACTCTAGATGATATTTGGTGATAGTTATTGGATACTTTCTGATCTTCCTTTTATAAGTCATATTTTTAATTAGATTTTTGGTTCTATGACATGCATAATGTTGGCTAGTTCCCTTCTCATTGCATTTTGATAGGCTGTTTATTTACTGGAATGTTTTCCTTGGTCAAGCTTTCACGTAGAACTCATTTGATTTGGCCTTTTCCCTTCATTGTGTCAACAGAAGTTGCATTTGTGCAGGTAAATTTATGGCTAAACAACTGCTTGATGTTTGAATGGAAAAATATATATTTTTTTTTCAGAATTTGTTGACATTTTTTTTTGGCAGCTGTGAAAAGCTTGTGGCCCATATAGCACCTTTTGCAAATTTGTGATTCCAAAAAAAAAAACGAAGACTTATAAGATATTTTCATATTCCACGTCTTGAGAACCACATCTCGTGTTGTTTCAATTGCTTATTCCAGCTTATTCATGTCTTGATTAACATGTTTTTATTTGTTTCAATTGTATAATATTTAACAGTAGCATTGAGTGAATCTTAGAAAAGATTGATGTAGCTAAAGAATGGATAAACATATGTGAATTCTTTTGTTATAAAACCATCAAGAATGTTGACCAAGGAAAAATATTCTTATGCTTCCTGCACCAAAATAGCTAACGTTATTCTTCAGCCTATGTTGGCCTTTTAAATAGGTAATGCTTTATTATTTATTTATTTTTGTACTTAAATGTCTAGTTTCTTCCATTGTGATGATATTTTTTGCTATTCAGTCTGTTGTTTCATACCAAAAAAATTGTGTATCTGAATGGAGGCTTCCTGCTAAGGCATTCATCCATTTGGAAGACAATTTTATACTCTATATGTATAATTGAATGAAAGCATAATCAGAAGTGAGTTGCAAATTCAAATTTTAAGGCCTGCTACATCTAAACTACTGCCGTTGCCAGGTCCCAAGTCCTGATTGAGAAAAGTGCAGAGGTTGGTTAGTAGTCGACAGCCCAGGTAAAACTTTGTCGAACAATAATGACATGAATCCTTTAAAGAAGTGTTTAATGCTAGGCGCGTCCCCTGAAGCGACGCGCTGTATGGCCTGAATACAGTGACAAAGTGTGGCAAGGGCCGCTGCACCGGCGCCCGGGTGCAGTGTTAAACTAGGCAAGGGTTCCACATCAAGACGGTTGGGCAAAGAAGCTAGTCCATGATTAACTAAAATTTAGGATAGACTTGGAATATAGGTTCCCCTTACAGAAAAATTAATCGGATTAATAATATTAATGATTCATTAGGAAGTTAAATATTTTGTTGCCATTCAGAAAACTAAATGGGTTGGAGATAAGGCTAAGGAAATTGGATAGTTTAGATTTCAAACTTTGGTATTCGGGTAGGAGTCGTACTAGAAATGGTGGTAGGTTGGTTTATTATAGATAAGAGTTTAAAGGATAATGTTATAAAAAATAATAGGATGGAGATAGAATTATAGCTTTAAAGATTGTTGTTGATGATAGATTGGTTCAATATTATAAGTGCTTATGCTCCTTCAAGTAGGTTTTGGATATGAGCTCTAATTAAATTTTGTGAATTTGACTTAGAGGAATTAATACAAAATATAACCTCTTGAAGAAAGTAGTTTTTATTTGGAGGAGATTTAAATGGACATGTTGGTAGAGAGGTAGAATGAATTTTTAAAAGCATTCATGTGGCCGCTGAGTTCGGAACGACGAATGAACGGTGCAAGGACCATATTGGATTTTTGTAGCTTATGATTTTTTAATTGTTAATACTTTATTTAAGAAGGAATGAGATCTCATCACTTATAAAAAGGTATATAAATACAACCCAGTTGATCTATTTTCTTATTAGAAAATCAATCCGTTTTACGATTTGCGAAGATTGTAAAGTATATTCCGAGTGAAAATTTATGTACCAACATCGATTATTAGTTTTTGGACTTAAGATAAAGGGACATAAAATAAAAATAAAGTAAAAACAATTTCTAGGATTAAAGTGGGGGCTTTTTAAGAATATTAACAAAATATTTTTGGAAATAAGATTTTTAGATCTTAAGGATTTTGTCTGTGCATGAGGATGCTAAATTATATGTGGGAAAAAGTGGCTAGTTGAATATTAACGATATTGCAAAAGATGTCCTTGGAGTATCAAGGGGAAAAACTCCCAATAGTAAAAATAGTTGGTGGTGGAATCCTAATGTGCAGAAAAAATTAAAATAAGAAGCTTTGTTATAAAATGGTTGTTTATTTTAAAAAATCCCTGTAATTGAGAATATAATAAGTGGCTCGTAGGATGCTAAGAAAGGCAATATGCGATGCAAAAGGCCATTAAGCTTTTGTTGAATTTATTAATAGATTAGATACTAAGAGAGGAGAAAAGATATATGTATATAAGTTAGCCAAACAAAGAGATAGGAGTAGTAAGATTAGTTCAAGTGAAGTGTATTAAGAATGAATGATAAAAAATACTTTCTTAGAAAGATGATAATTCAACAAGATGGATGAGATATTTTTGCTAAACTTTTAACGAAATTGTGAAAATAAGATTGACTATAGTGACACTAGCACACCTAGATGAAAATAAAGGATTTATGTTTTTTATCGGCGGTATTACGTAAATCTGAAGTTAGAGAGGCTTTAAAGAAAATGAAGGGGTGGTAAAAGCTGTTGGACCTGATGATATTTCAATAGACGGTATGGAAATGCTTAGGAGATGAATGGAATTTCATGGCTTCACTAAACTTTTTAATACTATTTTGAAGACTAAGAAGATGCCAGATGAGTGGAGAAAATGGTGTGTTAATGTCCTATTTTTAAGCATAAAAGGTGATGTACAAGATTGTGGAATTATAGAGGTATTACGTTAATGTGTCATACTTTAAAACTATGGGAGCGAGTTTGGAGCATAGGTTTTGCGGACGTGATACATAATGTTTTCAAAATCAATTTGGATTCATGCCGGGTAGGTCGACTATGGACAGCCATACATTTATTAAGAGGTTTGATGGAGAAATATAGAGAAATAAGGATGATCTACATATGATCATTTATTGATTTAAGAAAAAGCATATGATTAAAGTCCAAGAGAAGTGCTATGGAGAGTTTCTTGAAAAGAAAAGAGTCAATAATGCTTATATTCAAATCATTAAAGATATGTATGCAGGAGCTATTACTGTGTTCAAACACAAGGGGATTGACCAAGTATTTCCAAAATATTTCGGTTGGGTTACATCAAGGATAGCCTTAAGCCCATATCCTTTTGCTTTAGTCAAGGATGTTCTCACTAGACATTTGCAGAGGATGACTTGGGTATGCTTTTGCTGATATATTCTTCTTGTTGAATAAGACTAGAGAGGGAGTTGAGGTAACTTGAATATTGGAGGTCACTTTAAGAGTCTAAAGGTTTTCGCTGGAAGTAGATCTAAAACGGGACATATATGGAGTGCAATTTAGGTAGTAATTAGACCTAGTGAGGAGTTGGTGGAACTTTGGGCGATCAAGTCCATTAATAAGAGTACAGGTTTAGATATCTTGGATGTATTGTTCGAGTGATGGGAAATATGATCGGGGATATTATCAGCAGAATTTAAGTTGGATGGTTGAAGTGGAGGAATGCATCGGCTTGTTATGTGATAGAAATGTTACCCCTCAAACTTAAGGAAAATTCTTATAAGATGGTAGTGAGGCCTGCAATGCGTTTATGGTGCCGAATGTTGGCCTTTAAAAGAGAAGCATAATACTAAGTTTAAGTGTGGGCATAGATGAGATTGCTCAGGTGTGTCATCGAGGTGGCTATATAACTTGCCTAGGATGAGGTACGATACTCGAAAGTAGAAGCAACGCTATACGTGAAAAGGTTGGGAATAGTACATTTCATCACCAGTAGAAAGATAAAATACTCAGCATGCAAAGTCGCCTTGGCATCGGTTGGTCATCATAAAACGGCAGGCCTGCGATGACCCCGGTTAGAGAAGTAGACGGTTATTAGATTTGACGTTATGTAAGAAGGTAGGGGTTAGACCTAAAAGACTTGGTTAGAAAAATATTTAGGAATGACCTTTCTTTATTAATGTAAATGAGAATTTGACTTTAATGGACCACAATGGAAAAAAGGATTCATGTAGCGGAACCCCACGAGTGGATAAAGGCTTTGATGTTGTTGTTGTATACATCAAACTACTACTTAAATTAATTGACTATAACGAATTCTTAGACATCTTAGCTCGTTTACCTCTCAAACTTGATTCTGCTCATGTTTTTCTCCAACAAATAGAGCAGTTTAGTATAGCCTGGAGGGAGGGTTACCTTTTTAGCCAACCTATTCTTTAACCTTTGTAAGGTGACCTGTAGACTCTTGTTTTCTCTTACCATAATGAACTTAGATACTTTTTTAATTGAGTTTGAAATCATATACGTGCTGGAAAGACTTAGTTCTCATTAAACTTTACGAAAAATTATAGATGCTCAGTTTACTATCCGAGCTTTGTGAGAAACAAGGTCAAGCGGCTGCACTCAGGGCTGGATCAGCCATAATTTTCTAGGGGAGGGGGGGGGGGG